AGGAAACTCACCCAGTGCTTTAAAACTTGTCGATCCAAAGGTTCCTAATAGCTGAAAAGCAGTTAATAAGCAATTTCCAAAAGAAGGAAATATGCGAACCAAGTGTCCATAAAGGCGCCGACCATGGTGTGAACAAAAATGTCTTCCCCTTGTCTCCCAGAGCTCTAAACCTGCCCGCGACTGCTGCCTTGCAGTCTCCTTGTGAGGAACAACTGTCTGGAGCACTTGTGGCAATCTCAAGTCCTCTCCTTGTCCAGAGAAGAATTATGAAGAGCTAGTTTACCTGCCGGCTCTTCATTCCGCCGCAGTCATCGACTCTGCTTTTAGCAGAGCCATCTTCAGTTTGCCGTTTCTTCCACAGAAGTCGGTTTCTGGCCTTTCTGAGAAATTACAAAGTAGAAATGCTTTTGAGAAATGTACTGAGAGAAATAGTAACCCAATTCACACAATTTCCTTGCAGATTGAAGATTTCCGTTCACTAGAGAAAATTTCCAGAGAGGTCAAGTCAGTCACCATTATTGGTGGTGGCTTCCTAGGGAGTGAGTTGGCCTGTGCTCTGGGGCGAAGAGGTGAGTGTTAGCACCCAAACAGAACAGCTGTGTATGTGTGTGTATAAGATCTGGATCTGAGTAGCCACCACGTTTTTGGCTCAGTTATTGGAACCAGTAGCCCCAAATGTATCCAAATTGTTTTACTTTGCTAAGTTTCAACTCACCAATCAGTAAAACATTAATTATCTTAATGAAAACATCTCTGCTTGTTTACTATGAACTATCAGGATTGTGTTTAATAATAATAATTTAACAAACTGATATGCTACCTTTGTGGTGTGTGAACCTTATTTTAAAATACTTGTGTGTCTTTTTGCCTTTTGGTTTTCCATCTCCTGAATTTTGGCTCAGTTCTAGACTTCTAAAAAAATGCCTGGCACAATCTTTATGTATGCAAAACTTCTGTAGGCCTTGTAGTTTAGAAAGCTGCTCCTCTTCAAACACTCTGAAGGCCTGGTGCAATCATTTCTGCATCCATTTCAAAGTTCCTACTTGTATGGCATCACAGAAATTATACAGCTGTGACCTAGCCTCATTCTGCTCAGTCTTGACATAACAGCTGTTACAGAGCCCAGATTTTTCCCAGCATTGTTTATGTTAATTAAAAATGCACACCTAGTGTGCTCAATGTAATGAATTAAGATTTTCTCTGTTTTATTGATGAAGGCCTACAGAGTAGCATCAGCAAAATAAATAGGTTCCTATTCCAATCACAGATTGTGAATGGGGGAATACAGAGGTCAGGAGAATATGTGAGCGATAGGAGTGATATGTGTAGTGTTTGCAAGGATTGAGGAGACTTAAGACCAGATTAAATGTGAAGGAAAGAAAGGGAAACACACATTACCCAGGCATGAAGGCAACAAGAAAGGATGGGAAGACTCTAAGAACACAGAGAGTAAACAACTCCTGGCCTTCTGTATAATTTCCCATCTTTGGGCACTGTCTCGTAGGAGTCAGCAAAAGTTACCTGCACACCGATTGCAAATAGCTGTGCATACTTGGTGTATTTGAAATTAAAATATTTATAAGCTGCCTTTCTCACCCAAAACCACAAATGCTAGAAAATAAAGTGAGAGTTTTATAAAAATGTAGTAATGTATTATTAAAACTTTCCCACTACCATGTTATCCCTGAAGTAAAACATGACTTATTTCTTGTCATTCTCTCCCAGCTATGGAGCACATTTAAACTTTCAAGTTAAAAAAAAAATTGAACATATTTTCAGACTGTGTGTATGCATGTCTGTATGTACTCTTCTAGCAGGGCTGATAAAACCAAATCAATTATTTAGAACCTCATCAGCCTCTCAGCCTCACCAGCAACTCTTGGCATTCCTGCTTCTCCTTTTCCAGAGTCTGAAATTTCACTAATGTCTGCCCGGCTACCTTTTTACTCAACTTTTTAAAATGTGGCATTTCTCCAGATACTGAATTCCTACCCCTGGGTTTTTTGGGTACTCAGGCACATAACCAGGCTAAATAAATCAAGTTATTTTTGTTAATTGTGGCCTAGCGCATTAGTTCTCTGGGATGCCAAAGAAAAAGAGACACCAGGACTTTATGAAAGCTGGCTGAGTTTATAAACTCCTCTGTTTCCAAACAAGACAGCATGGATTCACTGGTGTTGCCTCTCACTGGCCTTGTTCCCAGCCTTAGCCTCTTTTTTTAGTGTGTGTGTTGTCCATGTGTTCAAATATTTACATCTCACCTCTTCGCTTTTTCTCTTCCAAAGCAGCTAACAATAAACAAACAAGAAAAAACCCACCATAGCTATGTAAAATCAAAGAAAGGGAAAGAAAAAGGCAACAGGACCCCCCCCCCAAATCACAGTAGCGATCCAGTTAAAAACCTAGGGATATGTGGCATGGCGACTGCACCTTTCCCATCAAAAAATGTCAGGCCTCCTCCAGATGTCTGCAGATGGTATTCCTCAGTCTGGGCAGCCACCCACAGAAGGGCTTTTCCCTGGTTGCTTTCTGCCTAATAGGAAAACCAGAGAGAAGCTGTCAATGGCCGTCTTTTGAAAGAGGCACCTTTGCAGGGCCCACGCAAGCCCCTGGTGGCCAAATTCCACACTGATTGAACTGCAGCCGGAAAAATCAGGTAGGAAGCCTAAGCTCTCCCCTTCCCTTTGCAGCGCAGTCGAGGGGCCTTGAGGTCATCCAGATGTTCCCAGAGAACGGCAATATGGGCAGAGTCCTTCCTGAGTACCTGAGCAACTGGACCACCAACAAAGTCAGGCAAGGTGAGACTCTCTCCCGCCCTCTTTTCCACCACCGCTCTAGTGCTGCTGGGCGGAGGGCTTTTCTGCCACCTGGGGTCTCAGCTGGCTTGGCCTGGTTTCGAGGCCGCTCTCTGCTCTTGGTTGAGAGTTGCCTCCACCTTCTTGCTCTCTCCTCTAGCTGCTGAGTGATAGGCCATCTCTGTTGTTCAGCCCTGGAAAGCCTAGTCAAGGCTCCAGGCTGGTTTTGTCTGGAGTTGGTGGGGGTGACAGGCTGGAGCAGACCTCCCAGCTCTAGTTGCAATAGAGTTGCTGCAAATAGCGAAGGCAGCTAGTGTGTGCCACAATGCTTGGTGCATGTGTAAAATGACTTCTGTGTCTCCTTGGAGCAGACGGCTAATGTTTCCTAAGGGAAATAATCACTGCACCAAGATGGTAAACCTAAAAGTTGGGCTCCACCCTCTTTGATGTCGTCACCGCACCATGGCCATGCTCCTGCAACCCCCAAAGGTTGAAAAAAAGTAAATGGAAAAGAATGGTTGACTGTACCTTTCTGAGCAAATATGTCTCAGGCAAGCTGCCGGCCTCTCTTTTGATTACCGGTTGCATAAATGAAGGATGGGCTAGGCCGGCCTTCTCCATTTTGTCCTCTTATGAGGAGCTGGGTACAGTCAGACTCTTGACTGCCCGGTGGCTGGTGAGCGTAAAGCCTTCCTGCTTCCCTTTGTAGAGAGGCTGTAGTTGCTGACGATGTAAACCCGCTGCTTCTCCTCATCCTAAGGCTGTAGCTTATTCTGCATTTGTATTTTCAGAGGGAGTCAACGTAATGCCCAATGCAGTTGTGAAATCGGTATCTGTTGTTGGGAATCGGCTGCTAATACAGTTGAAGGATGGGAGGAAAGTGAGTACTGCGAAACGTTGAAGAGGGTAATGGTGCACGAGATTGACCATGGCTGTTTCTCTAGGGCCAGATGCCTTTTAATACCATTCTAATGTGAAACTTCTAAAGGGACCCAGCTCAGAGACATTGCTCTATTTCACCAGGCCCAGGCACGTGAAATGGACATAAATGCACATTCTTTGTTCACCTTCCATGCATCTTATTATTGTTCCTCAGTAAAACCTGCCCCTTGGGGCAGAGCCCCATCCTTTGGTTCTTTGCACAAGAAAATCCTCTTTGAAATGTGTAGTATAAACAATTATGTCTGCTTTTTCTTCTGCTTAGGTGGAGACGGATCACATTGTGGCAGCTGTGGGGCTGGAACCCAATGTGGATCTGGCAAAGTCAGCTGGCTTGGAGGTGGATTCTGATTTTGGGGGCTTTAGGGTTAATGCAGAGCTGCAGGCCCGCTCCAATATCTGGGTGGTAAGTCTGGATGGAATCACAGAGACCTACGACAATTCCTTTTCAGCATGTGGAACAGCCATGGTATCTGGTACGGACATGCTGACTTCTGAGAGCCGCCACCACACTTCAACTCCTTTCCTATTTGCCCCCCACAAACAAGCAAAACCAGCAGGAAAAAAAATTCTGCTAATTGCTGAAAGGGATTTTTGTACCCTATGCTTGCACCACAAATATTTATCAGTCTCATGCTCCCTTTCCCAAATGGAGACTGAAAATCCCAAACTGAAGCCATTACAGCAAATTAAAGGTGAGGGGAAAATGCATTTTTGCTCACGAGTGTCATCTTTTCTGGCTGATCTTTCCTCATTCTTTTTTCCTTTTCCTCTGTACAGGCTGGGGATGCTGCGTGTTTTTATGACATTAAGTTAGGCAGGAGGAGAGTAGAGCATCACGATCATGCGGTTGTGAGCGGAAGGTTGGCGGGAGAAAACATGACCGGAGCTGCAAAGCCATATTGGCACCAGTCCATGTTTTGGTAACTTTAATTTCTTTTATTCTTTGAGTCCCAAGGGACCAGACTGTGGGAAAAAATAATGTGTAGGGTCTGGTATCTGGCAGCAGGAGAATGCACCATAGGTGGAATCAGGAATGCCAGGGACAAGCTAGCAAAAGACAGGGCTTGAAAGGGGGCTGAATCCAGCCAGGGGCTGCAGAAACAGTTCCAGAAAAAAATGCCCTCAGTGCTTCCTTAGGGGGGAGGCAGCTGGGCAGCAACTCAGAAGTTTGGTGACTGCTGCTTCTTTGGCCCCCCTCCCAGAACGGAACACATGCAGCCCACCCTGCACTTGCCAATGCGCACACAAGCAGCCCAGGAGAAAATGCAGACGCCTCCGGCCACAGCTGTTAAGGGCTGGAAAGAATTCCAGGGGCTGTTCCGGACCTGCTCTGCCAGCCTCGTTTCTACCTCGCTCTGCTCAGCTTGAATCAGTCTTTCAGTCCTTGTGTGCAGGCATGCAATGGGTGGCTTCAGAGCCTCCATGCAAACCCCTCCTAAAGTTGCTACCAAGCTGTCATTTGTAACCTGACCGAAAGGAGAACTACTAAACATATCAAAGTAACCATATTAATCGTATGTCATCAGTTTAATTATACTTAAAGAACTCACTTTACTTTTCAGTGAATTGGACTTTGGTACCCATGCCTTTTTGTAGAAGAAGTGAACTCTATTAGTAAAATGATCAGTATTTTGAGTGTATCTAATTTGTGTCTGTGGGAGGACAGGCACCAAAAGAGAACTGTGCTCCAGAATAAGATCACTTTAAGTCTGTAGCTGGAGAATGATGCACATGTTCAAAGAAAGAGCTCCCTTTGTGTCAACAGCAAGATTCCCAATATTTCATCATTCCTCTGCGCTGTATTCCTAAGCTAATCACACTGTTGTACTTTCCTGGCTTCATTTTAGGAGTGATCTAGGTCCAGACGTTGGATACGAAGCTATTGGCCTTGTGGACAGCAGCCTGCCCACTGTGGGGGTATTTGCTAAAGGAACAGCAAAGGACACCCCAAAATCGGCAACAGAGGAATCAGGTTAAGACTCTAAACTATGCTATAGTTTGGCTACTGGTGACTCTTCCAGCAAGGCTGTTGGTTTGGCTGTTCTGGTGTACTAACATCCCGCAAAAAAATGGCTGTATTTCACTTTTAGTCTTGGCTAAAAGCTACTGTGTGAACCAGGCTACCAGGTTAAGCCATAGTATGGTTTATTTGTGCAAGCATTACCTTTTGCATGAACACACAAACCACTGAATCGTAGAACGTAAGGATTGGGAGGGGCCTCATAGATCTAGTTCAGCCTCTCCTGCCAGGCCAGGAATCCACTCCTATAGCATTCCCAGTAGATGGGCATCCAACTTCTGTTTAAACACCCCCAGGAGAGTGCCACAATCTGTTCCATTGTTGAACAGCGCTTACCACTAAGAATTTTATCCTGGTATCCAGCCAACATCTGCTTCCTTGTAATTTAACTCCCCCCCCCCCTTTTTTGGGGGTCCTGTCTTCTAAAGCAACTGTGAACAATTTTTGC